AGTGAGCGACCATATTTTACTTTTCTCACTCCTTACATCAACAATCACTGCACCCGTGTCTTTCTGAAGGTTTACGCTCGATAAGTTAATTTTAATTTTACACTGGTGTTAATTAGCAAAGTATTCATCTCGGCAGACGTTCGTTAGATTACCCAGATATAATTTGCTTTCGTCATATTCACCTCAACCATCCTACGGGACGTGTCAAACATTTAATTTTATCCCGTGATAAGTCATTGTTTATTGACTGGTAACGTGTATTGTTCTAAGCATTTGATTGCAAATGTGAATGTATATGTCCTAAGGTGCTTGCTACAGTGCGTTGTTAATCGTATAGTACCAGTCATGCGACCTCTCAAGAAGTCCGATATTGATGCTATTCCTCAAAGTGTATTGGTACATTACACGCAGAATTCCAGTATCTTCCTACGAAAGTAGAGCTTGAGTTCCGATACTATGGGTTGATTTATTCTACAAGCTTGCCGGACAATGTTGTCATTCTTCATGGTATTACGTCTCGCGTGATTTCCGTGCATGTAATGCAAAGCTTAGTGAAATATCCGAGTTGTCGACTGTATCTCCGGCTAACAGAATGATGTACTCATAATCTATCGTAATCGGAACTCTCTGCGTTCTTGGCATCTGGCCTGCAAATTACTGGCATACACTGAAAAGCGAATTGTGTGGAAGTATAAATAAATAAATGATATATTTCTCGACATGCGAGACACAGGCAGACTACGAGCCTGATCATGTGGTACAACAAAGTCGGGTAGTGCACAAATAAAAGTGGGTGGACGTACAGTAACGTGAAATGCTAGATTTTTGTCCGACGTTTTTCGATTCAGATTGTACAAGTTTCACTGGTAACTGACAACCTCAGGAATATACATGTTTTTTACAGAAAAGGAGAAGAATTTTCGGAGGAAATAGTAAGATAGCTCCAGCAGTTGTCGGAGATCAAAATGGGAAAATTGGTGATGCGAAATAATTTTGTATGGTACTGGGAAATGTTGTATGTACGCATGGTATTTTTCAGGGAGGGAGAGAAGACTGTACGCAAAGTAAAGTAAGTTAACCGTCGTTCCAACTGTTCAGCTGTGTGCGGTAAGAGGAGAAGCTGATTTCGATGAGGGGATTTGTTCAGAGTGAACGTAAGCGTGGAAGATCATGGTAGGTTTTCGGAAGGTGTTATCAAATGGATTCAGTCCAGAAGCAGAAGGATTAAATCAACATTGATTTCGCTGAGCACGTAACACAGCAGCTCGTACCTAGGGGAGGGGTCCAGGGGAAAAGATAAGTAGAAGATAATTAGCATTGCAGAACAAACGCAAAATAATTTGCTCGAGAGGGGTATGTTATCATCCCGTTGTTGCATGGTTGGCGGCATCCGGTTTCGGATTTGCCTGTCACTGTGACCATCCACAGGACGCCTGCGCCTACAGAGGAACCATGGGTGGCTTGCGCTGCACCACCCACAGCTCTAACCACACACCACATATCCCGTGTAAACCCGAAGGAATAAGACCGGGAGGCATGTAGATGGGAGCCAGGTTTCATCAACGGAGCTGGCCCACACTCCTTTACAAGCAAACACAAGCACACTGTATTTGGAAATCAAGCGCATACAAGGCTGTGGCTGGACCGTAGTGCATTCCACACTGCGTGCATGGAACCACTCTTCGAGTCTAGCACGGCCACAAGGACCGTGCACCCCCGTCCCCTCCAGCAACGACCAGCTGTGCCCTGGAGCCAGTATGGACGAGGTAGTGGGTAATAGACAGGTAGGCACCTTGTCAACATGCACGTCAAGCGCAGCCACACCTGGGATATCAAGCAACAGCCATGGTTCGTATAAACAGCACGTGAATGCACGTGCCAACTAAAAGCTCTTATGACTCGCCTACGGACAATGGTCAGCGGGAGCTGGAAATTGCACGTATGAGGAAGTGTATGCTTAACTAAGCTGAGGCTGATGTTGCATTCATGATGCTTCTTCACCGCAGCTGCACCAAACCAACTTACACTTTAACTAGGTATTTTTAATGTGGATAAAATGCATTCCACTTTATTTTGTTTGTTCTGCGTACCTCACCATCTTCTCCTAACTTGCACATGTCTCTCATGCTAGTTGTGGTAAACTTGCGTAACTTTATCACGTGGTATCTTTTAATAAACTTCGGACATTTTGTACTTTCGCGGATTCGCTTAAAACAAATTTCCTCCATACGCTCATTTAGCGAGTATTTATATCGTCATATGCGTTTACTTCAATCGATATCGGCATTTCGAATGATTGGTTGTTGGTTTACATCCCAGGTGTGGCTGGGCTTGATGTGCATGTTGACAAGGTGCCTACCTGTCTATTACCCACTACCTCCTTCATCTTGCTTCAGGAGACAGTTGGTCGTTGCTGGAGGGGACGGGGTGCACGATCTTGTGGTCGTGCTAGGCTCAAAGAGTGGTTCCATGCACTCAGTGTGGAATGCACTACGGTCCAGCCACAGCCTTGTATGCGCTTGATTTCCAAATACAGTGTGCTTGTGTTTGCCTGTGAAGGAGTGTGGGCCAGCTCCGTTGATGAAACCTGGCTCCCATCTACATGCCTCCCGGTCTTATTCCTTCGGGTTTACACGGGATATGTGGTGTGTGGTTAGAGCTGTGGGTGGTGCAGCGCAAGCCACCCATGGTTCCTCTGTAGGCGCAGGCGTCCTGTGGCTGGCCACAGTGACAGGCAAATCCGAAACCGGATGCCGCCAACCATGTATGTATGTGTGCCCCATACTGAGGCTGATGTTGCATTCTTGATGCTTCTTCACCGCAGTTGGGCTAAACCAACTTACACTTAAACTAGGTCTTTTTAAGCTGGCTAAATTTCATTCCGCTTTATTTGGTTTGTTCTGCCTCCCTGAATAATGTTCTATTAACTGGCCACGTTGCTTACACTAATTGCGCTTATCTTCGGTAATTTTGTTGCGTTTGTAGCATTTTAAGTAACTTGTGGACATTTCTTACTTATCACGGATTTGTTGCTAACCAACTTACTTCATATGGTAATTTAGCGAAGAGTTATGCCACCGTATCTGTATGCATTATTGGATTTATTTGATTTCAGCTTGTCGTTTAAAGTGAATGGCTGTTGTTTGCTATCCCTGGTATGGTTGCGCTTGATGTGTATGTTGACAAGGTGCCTACCTGTCTATTACCCACTACATCGTTCATACTGGCTCCAGGAGACAGTTGGTCGTTGCTGGAGGGGACGGGGTGCACGATCTTGTGGTCGTGCTAGGCTCAAAGAGTGGTTCCATGCACGCAGTGTGGAATGCACTACGGTCCAGCCACGGCCTTGTATGCGCTTGATTTCCAAATACAGTGTGCTTGTGTTTGCCTGTGAAGGAGTGTGGGCCAGCTCCGTTGATGAAACCTGGCTCCCATCTACATGCCTCCCGGTCTTATTCCTTCGGGTTTACACGGGATATGTGGTGTGTGGTTAGAGCTGTGGGTGGTGCAGCGCAAGCCACCCATGGTTCCTCTGTAGGCGCAGGCGTCCTGTGGCTTGCCACAGTGACAGGCAAATCCGAAACCGGATGCCACAAAGGATGTTTAACTAGCAATGTCTGAACCGCATATTTGTCTTTGTCTAATGAAGATAAGTGAATCACCCTAGTGCGTTCTAAAAAGCAGCAATTGTCTGCTTGGTGATAACAGCAGAGCAATTACCAGGATGCGCGCATACAACATGTATCGGACACTTTCCGGTGGCTCATTGAGATCTCATTTACAGTTATCTAACAAGCCCGATTGCGACTTTGCAAGTCAGTTGAGTGTTATTTGTCGCAGAAGCAGGTAGTTCGTTCGTGGATATTTTCTATGTAGTCATTCAAACCAACGATACCGCATCCTTTCAAACTTGATTAATGTGTCGAATTGCTGTTGTTTCCGCTATTAGATTTTCGATTATCCGATGCCTTTCTGTCATGTTACGAGCCGTAGGCGGCAGTACCGCAGGTGGGTATCCCACTATTAAACAGCAGCACCGCAAGGGACGACTACGACTTTTCCAACCTGCGTTTCTCTACTGTCGTTAGATATCATGTGGACAGTATGCTGGATTGAATGCCACTTTTCTTCAAAGCAAATAATCGATGGATCTGATTGGTGGTACATTTTGAAGCACTCACGTGTATAGATTGCAACGCGCAAGATCAGTGTGGGCTATGGTTCACTTTGAAGAGAACTTTGTTCAAATTGATCACTAGGACCCTAACTACGGAAGCCGAGAAATGTTTAATGTTCCTCTCCCGAAAACAGTGCACTCCGCAGTCGCTTACTATCTCAGTGTTCAGTCTAATGTGAATCGCAACCCACATTGAGATTGCGCGTCGCAATCCATTCACACAATCCATTGATCGGATTGGATTAGAGCATCTAATTACTGTCTCTCTGACATATTGCCACTGTAAGCTATTTTCTCTTCGCAATCGCACGCCTGAATTTACGTCTGGAAATTTGTTAAGCTATTCCGATTCATTACACTCCTTTTCGATTTATTTTGTCGCATGGACAGGTTGCGAGGTGTCTTCGATATATTTCCCCTGGAAGCCCACAGGCTCCTAGCACTACTCCGCCTATCGCCACTTTACCCATCATACATCCTGATCCGTCCTTTCGTGACGCTGCTTCGCGCCCTCATGTGTAGTTACTGTTGCGTCCATGCTGAGGCGTACATAGCTCGTTTTATTTTTGACTTTTGTCAGGGATCATTGCTATAGGCGCTTTCCCTGTCCGAACCATGGTAACCATTTCCATGATGCGTATTTTCCATACCACTTCTCGGGCAAATTGGTCCATATTGGAAGCCATTTCAGCTACACGGCCTTCCTCGCTCAATCAGGTTGGCCCGTCCAGCAATCGTATCGAATCAAGTGACAGAGACCAACACGCAATTGCATGTAGCTCCTTCTTTGACCATTTGTCATCAGCCAATAGGGTTTCGAACCATGCTCGCACCCCACCACGCAAATGCTGTCGCCCGTGTGACACGTTTGTGCTGTGCCATATGCGTGCGTGCGTGCACGTTGTTAGGGACGTCTGATCGCCTACTAGACGACCGCGCTGGGCCAAAAAAGCAGATACATTCTGATGCGGACAGGTGTCTGCTACCTGATGCAATTTGGTTGACAGGCCTACCAACGTATCTGAATGACAGGAATTTGGTTGCTATACCACAGTTTGCTTTCAATATGGGCCAACCTGGCCTGCAACTAGTAAACCTAGATGAACAGCAACGCTTTTCCGGTGAAATTATCAGCAAAATCGTCAACCCCGAACTACCACATGATTTGTACCCGGACAAAACTGCATGCCGTCAAGTGCGTACTGCAGAACTTGTTAACATACTTTGCATCAGGAAGATTTATTACAGTTCTTTCTTTCCCCGATGACAGTGTCTGAGTTGACGGCTGTTCAATTTGTGCATCATCTCGACCCAGTGATAAGCACTTACTCGAAGAAGGTGAACTGAAATTTTTGTTGTAATTAAACTCGCTTCGCTTATCACATTACTTGCACTCTATTTCGGGCCAAAAACCACCCACCTTTCTTGACTCACCATCTCTACTGTAAACATATCCATTCAGTTAGCGTAGCAAAGAAGTGATTTTTCCTTACTTCCCATGAGGCAAATACAATTACACGACTGAAAGAGACACTGGTATGCTAGTGAAAGCTGAATTGAAAACGGTTGGTACTGTTTGAACAAGCTTAATATATTCGTCTGATACCCAAGTCGACCGGCTCAAGTGACATACGTTGCGACAGGACTCACAGCCTTACGCATGAAGCACAATTGCGTCAACCAAAGGCGTGGAGAAATCACACTCGGTTTTGCCCAGTGTTCCACGTGAACGATGCCTTGCTGGTGCCATGGTTAGGTGACGGACTGCACAAGCACCTTGTGCTTGCATGGCTGTGGCTGTGTTAGCCTGCTCGCTATCATTTCAGCCGTCTGCATGAGGAGTTTCCTCGGCCCTTTCGGGCACCGTTTGGTAGACAATGAATTTTGTGACTGATTTATTGCAATACCAAACCTTGGATTCAACATACAGCTGAGCGTAGTGGTGTGAATCTCATTCCAGGGGAAATGACTTGTTTCTGTACATATTTCCTTATAGTTCCACGATCTTGTATGCGTTAGTTGCGTTCACGTGTTGCAACCAATGCATTTACTGGGGCTAGGGTAATGGGAAATATAGGCCAATGCGCATTGCCCTATGAGAGATAAAACTGTGGGTTTCTGACCGTACTTTTCCGCAGTGATCCTGGTTGGTGCACTGCTGCTTCTAGTACTGGCAAAAGTGTGGTCATATGTACGAGGTAGTTAACACTGTAAGAGACAAACTTTGCTCCGTAGGGTTCAAGTGAGACGTTTTCACTGGAATCAGGTAAACAGCATATGCGGAACTGGATAGCGGTATTGTTTACAGATGATTCAGTTAGCATTTACCATAAACACTACAACAACGGCGCTTCTAAACTCAAAACAGCTACAATGACGAACGTTTCTGTTCGTAAGAAACAAGCTTGGTTTCGAGCGATGGAGGTAGGAACTGACGGCACTATAGTGTCCGGTATGTTTACAGGACAGACGAAAGGATAGGATTGGTGGGTCATGCGAATGGAGCGAAAGCTGTTTAGAACATTCACCTTACTAGTCTTCGATGCACAGACACAGCTTGGGGAGTGGACAGACAACCATAATCGGGTGGGAGGTACAAGGTTCAATAGACCACTGTAAACAGTTCAGAACAAGGGCTCAACAGACAAACTTAATCAATGCGAAACGTGCGCGTTGTCGTAAGTCAAAATTATGGAAACGTGATATGATAAGTATGTTAAAAAGCATAGGATGGAAAGAGTTTGGGTATTAGGTTTCGCGTAAGAATTCCGAGACATTGTTGTCATGTTTTGGCAAGGAAATTACATGTTTAGAGGATTAAATATCGCACTCTCATTATGTCCACCACAAACACTACAGGCGCAGGTAATTGGACCTACAAAGTACGATTCGAACATGACTGGTAGTCTAAATTTATGACGTTAATAAATAAATTTAGTAGTCTCCGGAAGAACGTGGCAGTGGGCGGCCGAGTAGATTCTGGCTACCGCGACTTTTTATGTTCCTTGTCACGTTGTACAGTGCATGCTATCAGCTCGGAGTGTTCTGTTGACTTTGCATTAAATTCACTAAGTCCTGGTGTTACTTCGGCATGCGTGGAGTTTAACACGTTCCACTTTGGTTGTAAGGTGGTCTACTTATAATTTCCAGATTGCTTACTTTTACGTTAATTTTTCCATACAGCATTTACTCATTTCCACGATACTCTGGAGAGCACACATGACCCCACACTGCGGACGATAGATCTTCACATTGGGTTGCACCGTGGAAGTTGGCGTCAAGTCTCACTCCGCTACCAGTCCCTTACATGCTCTCATATACTTGGTGGCTACCCTCATGTCGTTGATGACTTTCTTTATCCTCGCTTTCACTATCTACATCACTGTCATCGTTTTCATCTCCCATTGCTCGTAGCTGCTTTCGTTACTTTACATTATCCTTAGTCCATCTGATTAAAGTCACTATTATTATTGATGAAACTCACGCTGTAATCCGAGCGAGGCGTTACTGAATGCTGTGTGTCTGGAGTGATCGCTGCATTTAAGTCCTATCACCTGTTCGAGACCGTGCAATTGCAACTCACAGTACCATGTGTATCTCCAACTCTCTCTCCTCATCTTTTCCCCACCACCCGTCGTAGACTTAGCGAAACCTAATACCACACCTGCCGCGAAATAACCCAACGATCACCAGCATCACCGCACGAGGTGTGAGGGGTAAGGGGGGGGGTATTAAACATAGGGGGGGGGGGGGGGGGGGGGGGGGGGGGGGGGGGGGGGGGGGGGGGGGGGTTGTAACGTAACTAATAATTAAATCGAAAATACAGGCACAGGCAAAACTGATATAAAACATAAATATATAAGGGTAAACCAACATATATTTAAAGTAATTATTTAAATATGGGGGTGTGTGATTGGGAAGTAGGTGGGGTGATGGGTGTAGGGGAGTTTGATTTGTGGGTGGTGGTGGTTGCATGTAGTGTGTATGTTGGTGTATGGTTGTTGGGTGGGTGTGGTGTTTGGTGGTGTGGGGGGGTGGGGGGTGTTTGTTGGTGGGGTTTGTGGGTGGGTGGTTTGTGGGGTGTGGTGGTGGTTGGGTGGGTGTGGGGTGTGGTGTGGGTGGGTTTGTGGGGGTGGTGGGTGTTGTGGGTGTTGTGGTGGGGTGGGTTGTTGGGTGTGGGGGTGGGGTGGGGGGTGGGGTGGGGTGTGTGGTTGGGTTTGTGGTGGTTTGGGGGGTGGGGGTGGGTGGTGGTTGGGGGGGGGGGGGGAGGGGTGGTGGGGTTGGGGGTGGGGGGGTGGGGGGGTGGGTGGTGGGGGGGTGTGTGGTTGTGGGGGGGGGGTGGTTGGGTTTGGGTGTTGGGGGGTTGGGGTGTGGGGTTGGGGTGTTGTTGGTGGTTGTTGTGGTGTTGGGGGTGGGTGTTGTGTTGGTGGGTGGTGGGGGTGTGTGTGGGGGTGGTGGGGGGTGGGTGGTGGTGGGGCTGGTGGTGTTGGGTGGTGTGTGTGGGGCTGGTGTGGGGTGTGGGGTTGTGTGGGGGTTTGGGTGGGGTGGGGTTGTGGTGGGGTGGGGGGGGGGGTGTGGTGTGGGGGTGTGTGGGGGGGGTTGGTGTGGGTGGGTGTTGGTGGGGGG